AGAGCCACGGTGGACCGGTGTGGAAGGTAGTTTGGGCGCATCCTGAATTCGGACAAATTCTAGCGACGTGCTCATTCGATCGAAGCGTAACAGTTTGGGAAGAGACAGGTTCGATCTTTTGTCACCATTTCACAAACAAGCCGCTAAAAGCTGAAACTCCTCAAAACTCCTAAGTAATTCTCATCCTAATTTATTCTCACAAGCACTCGAATGATTTCAAACGAAATAATTGCCATACTTGCTGGGTATAGTGAATGGCGGCTGAATGTAGAAAAGCTGAACATAGATACATCTGGCATCACTGCATTTGACGTGTTGCTGCAGCCCAGTAACATCAAAAAATTCGCTGTGATAAAAATTTCAAGCGATTCTGGTGATTCGTCTCTGGTTGATTTTGTTTTATCTCACACTGAATGTGCAAAATTCAACATTATATCCTTAATTTTAGTCATTTTTTATAATTTTCGTAGATAAAATTTAAGTTTTTTCCCTCCATTTTAAATGTTCACTTGAAAAACTTAGCCTCAGAAGAGGTGGCATGCATACGTACAATGAGCAGGTGGTGAAAACGAACTAGAACTGTGTGGAATCGAAGGACTTGGCATAGCTGCACTCGGTCTGTAGGAGTAGCCCAATAATGTTATTAACAGAAGATACCCATACAGTTTTTCTGAACAGTCCTGGTTTTCTTGATGTGAGAGATTTGTGGTCGTTGTTCTGAGCAAATTTCATTTCCTCGCTAAAAGCATCTTGCTGAATGGTATTTTTGCAGTGCATGAACCGGATGAGACAATTTCGAAGATCGGTGTACATTCTGGCCAGAAGCAGGAGCCAACACGATGGCGACGTTGTTGTCAGTTGGTCGATAGCCGTCACAATGTCACGGATATCAAGTTTTCACCGCGATACCTTGGACTGATGTTGGTAAGTTACAGGGATTTATTTTGGCTGCTCTTCTGACTTTGCTGAGTGCTTAACATGTTATTTCTGCACTTGTAAATTCTTTTGTGCAAAATTTTTCCCTAAACAAAACAAATTTTGTGCGCTGAATAGACGCTCCAATTTTTTTAAAAAAAAATATTAGCCACGTTAAACTATCATGGTGACCTTTCACTCTCCGCATTATATTGTTTTATGAAAATTTATATCATGTGATAGCGAAGGCCTGTGATAGCCTCTGAAGAAAAATGAAAGTCCGAAAAGTTAGAAAACTGGCTATATCAACCGGTGTGAAAAAATTATTATTTAAATTTTGGAACTAAAAACTTAGATTTCGCCGATAGACT